GATATAGCATGTCTGTCAGACCTATAACCAGAGCTCAGTATCTTATTACAGGTAGTACTTGATTTGGACTACATATTTGAACAAAATCCACTGTTTGAATTTTGTTTTTTTTTTCTTAATGCATCTTAATGTTTATTAATGGAGTCCTGGTGTGGTTTTGCAGGATGCCACGAGGTTGGCGGTTGAAACCACCAGCCACTCCTTGGAAGCCTTGTACGAGGTAGCTGTGAACTGGAACCAAATTGACACAATAGCAACATAATTGTTAGTATGTTCCTACATACAGAGTTTCAACACAAATTTGCTGATGTTCTCAGATGTTCATTACGATGTTCAGTGCTATGATTTATAAAGGCACTGATAATAGAAGGCAGTAATAATGAAAACTAAAGTAAAATGAGGGTGTCAACTTAGAAGTGACTTACAATGGTGTTGTTGGAAAATAACCCATTATAAATTGAGGGTTACCTGTATTTAATTGAGTACCATACTGTATTCATCATTGGGTCTCCTCTCTCTTCTTTAGCCAGATCTTTGCTTCACCTGTATTTTTTGGTCCCTCATCTACCACAGGACAGATCCTGGGCCTGCTGTCTTGGCTACTGATTAGTGTTTATCAATCAATGTTTGATTTAACTTGGTAATTTGATCACCACATGCATGTTGCTGTGAATATGTGGTGTCAGATAAACTTCTAGGGACTCAGAACACCTAAAGAAGTAGAATAGCTATTATTCTAATAGATGACAGCTGTAAGTTAAGTGCTTCTGAGGTAATGAAGTAGGGAGTAGATTGTTCCACCTGTAAAGCATTCATGCAACAACAAAAATAAGGCCAGCACCAGTCACAGCAAACATCCAGCAAGTCACAGGAGAAAAAGGAGATAGAGAAAGACATTGAATGAACCATAAGGCTTTGATGAGCCAAATTAAGAATATGAGAAATTCTAAAGATCAAATGACCGAGTTTCTTCAACCCGTTGATAGCATTGAGAAGATGAAGGAATTGTTATAGATTAAGAGACATATCTTTGAAAGTAAGTTATGGACCTCATTTATTCTTGATTTAAACCAACTGCAAAAGGATAAAGAAGAAATTTTAATAGGACCTGGGCATTTACTGATAGTAAAGAGTGTTTGTTTTACATGTAGTAATGTTAGTCTAGGAGGGACTAGTCCCTGGAGAAGGACATAATGCTTGGTAAAGTGGAGAGACAACAACAAAAAAAAGGACGACCCCCAAGGAGATGGATTGGCGTAGTGGCAACAGCAGTGGGCTTAAGCATAACAATAATTGTTAGGATGGTACAAGACAGGGCAGTGTTTCATTCTGTTTTGCATAGGGTTGCTATGAGTCAAAACTGACTCGATGGCACGTAACAACAGCGTTGTTCTAAAGACTCCTGGTGTTGTGTTGTTTACAGCACCTGACTGCTAACTGGAAGGTTGATGGTTCAAATCCACCAACCACTCTGAGGGAGAAAGACATGGCAGTCTGCTTCTGTAAAGATTTACAGCCTTAGAAATCCTATGTGGCAGTTTCACTGTGTTCTGTGAATCAATGATAGTGGGTTTAGGGATGTTACTGTAATTTTTTTGTAAGTTCTTATTTTTCAGAGATTCATTTTAAAGTTCCTTTTGAGTTTTGTTCTACGTTTTCCTCCTAGTATATTCAGGACTTTCTAATATGATCCCCTTGAGAGCAGTTGATTGTGGTAGCTGAGTACCATCTAGTTCTCTTCTCTCTTTTTTCCTTTTTGAGTCTTAGTTTTTGAATTTATCATTCAAAGCTTAGCATAACCCTTGTGTTTTGAAAGTTATAATATACTTCTGCTCTGCCATTGTTGTTGGTTTTTTTTAACTGAATGGTTGGGGTCTCATAGTTTGAATTTTCTGTATACTTTTTTTTTTTTAAGATGAAAACAGGATTTGTGCATTTCTGTGGGCAAGACTGGCAATTTGCAGTGCTTTACAAACATAGCAGTTTAGCATAAGTTCCTTCTATCAATGTAGAAGTATGGTTTCTTTACTATTTTGAGGTTTTTTTTGTGTGTTTTTTCTTTTTTGTATCCTTATTTTATTTTTTGCTTTGCAGGATCCTTAGGTTTTCCATTACTTTTTTTTCCTGCTTCACCGTACAATTTCTAAGGTACATATTACTACCTACTCATTTTAATTGTCTTCTTTGAAAAGCTTCCTTTACAACTTTCCTGGCTCAAGTCTTATGCATTCTTTTATGTTCCTCCCTGCGAGAAATTGAAACCACATTCAGAAGAGGTCATGGAATGAGGGGTATGATTGCTGACATTAGGTGGATCTCTGTGTAAGCAAAGCATACCAGGAAAATGCTTAATTGTGCTTTATTGACTATAAAAAAGGCTTTTGACTGCCTGGATCATAGCAAATTAACTGCAGATAGCATTGCAAAGAACGTGAATTCCAGAACACTTAATTGTGCTTATGAGGAAACTATACAGAGACCAAGAGGCAGTTGTTCAAATAGGAAAAGGGAAACTGAATGGTTTAAAATTAGGAAAGGTTTATGCCAGGGTTATATCCTTTTACCATATTTATTCAGTCTGTATTCTGAGCAAATAATTTGAGAAGCTGAGTTATATGAAGAACATGGCATCAGGATTGAATGGAGATTGATTAACAACTTACAATATGCAGGAGATAACAACTTTGATCACTGAAAGTGAGGAGGACTTAAAATCCTTACTGATGGAGAACAAAAACTACAGCTTTCAGAATGGATTGCTCCTTACTGTAAAGAAAATTATAATCCTCACAATTGTACCAATAAATAACATCATGATAAAAATACAGAAAATTGATAATGTCAGAGACTTCATTTTGCTTGGATCCACATTCAGTGCTCATGGAAGCAGCAGTCAGGAGATCAAAGGATGTATTGTATTAGGCAAATCTGCTGCAAAAGGCCTCTTTAAAGTGTTAAAGAACAAAGATGTCAGTTTGAAGACTCAGTTACACCTGATTCATGGCACACAATGATATTTTCAGTCACTTCATAATCATGTGAAAGTTGGACAGTGAATAAGGAAGACCATAGAAGAATTGATGTATTTGAATTGTGGTGCTGTAAGTATATTGAAAGTGCCAAGGGACTGCCAGAAGAACAAACAAGTATGTGTTGCAAGAAGTACAGCCGAAATGTGCCAGACACTGAAGGACATCATGCTTGGGAAAGTGTAATGTCAATGAAAATGCGGAAGATCCCAACAAGATAACAGCAACAGTGGTCTCAAACATAACAGCAATTGTGAAGATGACGTAGGACTAGGCAGTGCTATGAATTGGAACCAACTTGAT